GGACGGAGAAAGAGAGAACCGAGAGAGACGACCGGCGATCCTGACCATTCCTAAATCATACCCATGAAAGGATGGATTGTACTCCCCCCTACCCACATCTCTCGCTAAAAATAGTTGACGCACGAGGGTGTTGTCTCTGAATATTTTTCAACTGTGTTGAAACAATATTGTTCTCAGAAAGAGTCAACGTTCAAACTACGTCTTGAAAAACAAAACGACGTGAAGTCGCATCACCGGGGATCGCTTCGTAAAATCTTGCGTGAAGCCACTGGAAATGTAACAAACAATAAGACGACCTAATCCGTTCAAAGTACACGTTCGTTTACGCTCATTACACTACCGATTCAATACGCGCAACGATCGCACTTCCGACGAGTCACCTCACCGGCGGCAAAGTCAGTCTGCGGACGGAGAAAGAGAGAAAAGGGAGAGGCGTATGGCGGATGCGATACTTTGCGCCGTAATCCGCGGTACGCACGGAAGAAACGGGATGTCGCGTGTCCCCGGTCACGAGGCGGGGAGAAAAAAAGGGGAGAACCTGACTCGACCGGACACACGCGCGCGCCGGCCTGCAACCTGGCTCGGGCGGGAAACCCTGCCGGAGCATACGTGACCGTATGGCGGATCCGCTGGGGGTGCGCGAGAGGAACGAGCCGAGGGAGGACAGGGGGGGCTACCCAGGGGGACATATGTCGGGGACACGTAATTCGCCGACCACGCCTCAATGATCGTGCGGCACGCACGCGGGCGTACCACGCATGCACGCACGCACGCACGCACGTAGGCCCGTATCCGCCCCCGTCCGCGCGCGTGCGACTTGAATTCGATTACGCAGAGGTGCCCCGCGACTCGCGTACCCTCCCGCCGTCCTCGTCGAAGAGGAGACAAAAAGGAGAGCACGAGGATAATCGCGAAGATGGACTCCTGTGCGACTGCGAGCTACGATCAACCGGCGAAGAAGTGGACCCTGAAACTGGCGGATGCGATAAATCGAAGGGGAAACCACTGAGGACATTGTGGTGTACAGATTTGAGGCATTACTGGGCATTAGTTTGGGCATCAGGCCTTGCTGGGGCACTATAAAGATAAAATAAAAACTTCAGATGATTATACTTGACCATGCCTGGCAAATTTTTGTGTTTAAACTCACAACGTTTCGACCATGGTTTGTGGTCCTTCTCGAGTGATCTGACAAAGAAACTGCAAGCAGTTTGGTAAAGAGTTGATACACAAGTGAGTTACAAAATAAATAAGTTACACAAATTACAGTCGGAAGTATAAAGCTCGAGAAGTAAAGTAAGATTGACGATATTAATGTAGGGAAGATTTACAAAAGTGGGAGACAAATGTCGTGGTTAACGTAAGAGCATGTTACAAAGGCACATGTCATGAACCTGGCAAAGTCGCGATTCAACTCGGGTATTAATACGCATTACGTCATTGGAGGCTAACGCAAAGTGTCGTGTTGGACACAGAAAGAACTAAGAGCGATAAAACAAGATAAATAAGATAAAATAAGATAATAAGACAGAGTAATGCCCACTGGGCATTGGTGGGCATTGGTGTGCAAGATTTTGATCAGCGGTTTCCCCCTCGGGATAAACTTTGTTCTCTCCCGCGAGGAGATCGACTTCCGTCGTCTTCTCGGCCCAGCTGGGGCGATTTAAAAATCGTAGCTCTTTGCGTGAGAGATGAACAGGGACGAATTGCAAATACTCGCGCTGCAGAGCGATTACTAGACTAGATAAACCGAAGGCGGAAGGCCGCCGGTGAAATTACGACGAGTAATAAGCCGTTTTGCTGGTATTATCCATTAAAAGCCGTAGATTTAGCCGTAAAAGGAAACACGGCAATAGTACGCCCGGCAGGAATTGATGGGCATTACGCTAAAGTTATTTTCGACCAAAAATTGGTATCGTAAAAAGTTAATGAGCGTCGGGCTACATTATTTGCAGCGCAGGAATAATGGCGCGCATAATTAAACGTGCAAACAGCGAACGAAACCCCGGAAAATCAATTTGGTGAAAGCACCGACTTGTAAATGCCACCGATAATCTCCATGCTTTGTGTTGCGCTATACATAACAGGGTGTACCAAAGCCACCGGTATGTATACAAATGTATATACACACATATAAATGCGAGTACATATATATGTATATATATGTATAAATATCTTAACAATAGACACTCTAAAGGCCAAACAAGAAGAAAGCGGTTGGTGTCGAGACACTGATAATTTGCAAATCATAAGCATTCACTATTTCTCAATTACTTATTACAGGAATCAATATAGAGGATTCGTAAACTACTGCCTTGAATCTACCTCTACGTAACAGAGAGCCACAGATTGGGGAGATATGTAAAACTGGTAACTGATTTGTCATTTATCCCGAATGTGGTTTCGCGAGAGTCGATAACGACGAGAAGAGTTGGGAAACGAGTCGCTCGGCGGTTATTATTGTGCAATCCGTGTGTAATCCGTGAGAAATGCAATAAGGGCTAATCGCTTATGGAACCGCTCGTTGGACCATACTGCGAAAGTATAGGCGGGACGTTATCTCCAGTCGTCTAATTCCCGCAGCTCTAACGTGATATTATCGATGGCCGACGGTAAAAGCTCGTCGAGAACGAACGTAAATGGCAATCGGCCGCGGACATATTCGGCGTCGTAAAGTTTTCATCGGCGTGTTCCAGCGCCGCGGGGGGGAAGAGTTCGACCCGATTCGATAAAAATACAACGCCGTAAAAAAAGAAATTCCTACTGAATAAACGACCGCGGACTAGGTTCATCGTAAACCCCGCCGTCTGCCTCCCTTATTTCCGTCACCGTTTCCACGTGCCTCGCGCTTCAAAAGCGGACAATTAAAGAGAAGAGTCGCGCGCGAGGAAGGGAAGGAGGGGGCAGGAAACGACGAGAAACGCCGTCGCGCAATATTGCATGTAATGCTCGCGAACTGTGAAAAAAACTTGGTTAGCCCGAAATAAAAAAAAAACCACTGGGACCGGGGGGAGGGGGGAATCGCGCGACACTCTGGTAAAATAATATTGTTGTTGCTTTTAGGAAGCGTCCTCGCGCGACGATGATTAATGGCCGCCCGCGACAATGGGTAGACGTCAGCAGATACGCGTGAAACCACGGCGTTACACGTGAATGTCGGCACATGCGCTATTGTTAGGGAAATAGACTTGAATGGTGCGTTAAACAAATTTCACTCGCGAACGAAATATCCGACAGGGATGAAAAGTTGCGCCGCGCAAGATTCTGCACCGGCGACAAATGCGATTTATCCCGCGGCGATAAGCCCCGCACGTCGTAATACGGCGGGATCTCGGGTATTACCGTGTACGGGGAGACACTTTTAAATTTGCGCGAAGGAAATTTTTTTTAAGGGAGGTCTCCTCTCCGCGAGTGGCTGAACGCGCGGCGCGTGCGCCGCCCCGTCGCCAGGGGACAATTTAATTCGCGGATTCGTTCGCGAGATCTCGAACGCGACGGCCGATTTTTACGTTTCGCGCCGCACCTGCTTGAGGTTCGCGGCCCCGTTCTTCAAATTTTCTCGAGCCTCTTCCGGGCGTGCGCGAGGCTCGGTTGTGTCGATTAAACGTTGAAAAATTATCGCATTCGGCCGGGTAAGTTTTAAAGGGCTCGTCCATTAAAAGGTTCGCAGCGGTAAATCGCGCGGCGAGAGTGACCGTTTGAAAACTTTGGCGAGTACAGAGTAGGGGGAGGGGGAGGGGGGGCATTTATACAGCCGCTCGCGCGTATGACGGAAAAGCGTGTAATTAAAATTCGCGTCGTTCTCCGCCCGCGCGGATCCTGAATTCTACTCTCCGCGCCAGAAAGACCTGTGTACACGTAAAAAGTTTGACAAAAGCAAATGGGCGCCGCTTTTGCGGCCGCATTACGCCGTAATGCAATATTACTAGGGCCAAACTTTTTTGCGAAACGCTACGCGCCGCAGCAGCTTACTCACAACATTTTTACACGTCAGATAAGTAGCGGCAAACAATTAAACTAATTCCGCAGCCTGCGTTCTCGCCGTCCGGCGCGCGGTGGCTTTACCGCCGCTTTCGATTGTCGCGCGGATCATCGTTCGATCGCTGTGTGAAATTGGCGACGAGTCTCCCGCGGGAGGAGCGAAACGTTTAACGTTTCTCGCGACGAGAGACGTCGTCGATACGCTGAAGCCTGGATGTACGATGTTGCATCGGGAAACGTTCTATTTTACGCGAGTGAATCGAGGCGCTTCAAAAATTTGCCGACAACGTGCAATGGACAGAACGGTGGCGGCACTGCTCTTTTTAACGAGTTTAGGAACGCGCGTTTGGATTCAGGGTTACGTTCCAAAATGCTCTTCTCCGGGGAACATTTTGCTCGACGGTCATTCCGATTTCGAGCGTTTCCGATCTATTTCTCGAGTGAAATTTTCCTCGAAGAAAATGTATTTGCGCGCAAACCTCGAGGGGTGAACCGCTGACCAAAATCGCACCGATGCCCAGTGGGCATTGCCTTATCTCATTCTCCTACTTTATCTTATTTTATCTTAATAATGCCCCCAAAAATGCTTACTAATGCCCACAGCAATGCCGCAAATCTGTGCGCCGCAACGCCCTCGGCGGTTTACCCGTCGGTAAACCTGAATCTAAATGCGCGTTCCTGAACTCGTTAAACAAAGTGTCGCGACCGTTCCATCACTGTACAGTTTGTCAACCCGCGGAGATTAAAAAAATGCAATTGTACGAAACGGAACGTTTCCAGACGCAAGGAGCGCGCGTTGCGGATCAGGCCCAACGGGGCCAGGGGCGTCTCCGCGATCTCCGAGACGCGGAGATCCGCGCGCACGGTCTCGCACCGTGCGCAGTTACCGCCGAAGCGAAGGAATAACCGGGTACGGGGCCAGAGATCGGGGAGAACGCAAAGTAAGACATAATTGCGCCGTAATGGGAAACGAAGAGTAAGAATAAAAGAAGATGAAGGATGCCGGGCAACACACTGACCTTGAGCGCGGACGACGGTGAGCAGGCCGGCGAGGAGAACGATCGGATGGCACCGCGTCATCTTCTTTTTTCACCTTCCTTCCCACCTCGAGGCTGCTACCACCCGGCCGTCCTCCAGCTCGTCTTCACTTTCCTCGGGCCCTCGCCGCACGCGTAGGTTACGCTTTCCTCACGCAACCAAAAGAAACAAACACACTGCTGCTACGCGCCCTCTCGTCCCTCTCTCCCTCTCTTGGAATCCCGATCCTCGCCGCGACGTCCGGTCTTCCTCGCGTGCCGATCACTCGATGGTATTTCCTTCGAACCGCTCGCCACTCAATCGCCGTTTAACGTCACGTGAGATCCTGCGTTCAGCACTCATATCACTCCTCCCTCGTCCGCTCCTCGCGAGAGACTGGCTCTCTCCGCGCGCGCGAGAAGTCTAACCACGGGGGAGGGAGGGGAGGTCTCCGCGAATCCCCTTTTTTTCTTACGATAAAAGTGTCTCGTCACGAATCACGTAACCCGTTTCACCGACGATCCATTCGCAGATTCCTGCAGATCCGCTCCCTCGTTCTGAAAAATCAAGAGGCCGTTTGTGTGCTTTCGCCCGACCAACGGGTTCGCGCGAACTGACGCGACGACGACTCTTTCGCGAAGTGGTCCCGGGGTCTCGAGCATTCGCGCGGACGTCCCTCTCTCCCGGTCGGGATCTCATCCTAATTCCGCGTCGCCGAGCTCGGATTCGTGCTCCGGTTCGGACGGTCCGGTCTCTCGGATCGGAGGCACGGAGCATGTTAAAGCGGAAGGAATCGCGACGAAGATGTCGCCGGGGACGAGGGGGGGAAGCGGTGGACCGGAGAGCAAACTCGATGAACCGAGGAAGGGGGGAAAAGTTGGGTGGGACCAGCCGATGGGAGAAACGAAGAGTGAACTACTTGTCGCTCCGCTCGCCGCACGCCCGCGGCTATACTGAATGCGCCTCTAATGATCGAGCCCGACGTGAATAATTCGTTCTGCTGTACACCGCCGATCCCGCCGTCCTTGCTCGCGCCGTCCGATCGCCGTCGATGATCGACGTGGACTCGGAGGGCATAATGAAAGGAGCGCGTGCCGGCCGGAATGCAACGCGCCGCTACGCGACACCGCGCCGGCCGTGGGCTCGAATAACACTTTTACGGGGTTTCCGAGGCTTCCCCCAGGAAGCTAAGCTCGGACGGTTACCGTCTTCCCCTCGCCCCTCGCCGCCTTCAGCGGCACTCGACGTCTCCGCTCCGCGGCGAGACGTAATTGAATAAAACCGCTAAGTGATTAATTGCCGGAGCCACCGTGACGTTCCTCCGTACCGCCCGGCTTAAACTTGGCGCTCGAGTTTAAAAGATCTCGGGCTCGGGCAACTTTAAAGGTTCCGTTCAACGGAGCAGCCAGCCTGATAGCCTCGAACGCCCGCGCCGTCCACGCGGCATCAAACGCGACGGCGGGGAAAAGAGATGACGACGGTTCAGAGACAAACGATAATTTCGCGGCGCGTACCGATGAATCGAATTCTCGGAAAGCGCTCGAGAAAGCGTCGGCTTTGCGCTCCGAGGGGCCGAAACGACCGCCGTGGAAAAATATCCCGCTTTGGTTGATAAATTACAGTTTTGTGGTCAGGCGGATCGATCGACGAGGAATCGCGATGAAACGTTTCCTCGAAGCTAACGTCACTTTCGCGCACGGGAATTACCGACCTCCCTCCTTCGCCGAGAGAATTCCGACGATATTGTTGTTGCTTCTACTACATTTCGATTGTTTGTCGAACTATAAAAGTCGCATTAATGCAACGCGAAAGCAGTCCGCGGTCCCGTGGATATTGTTTATTGAACTGCGCGCCGAGACGCGGGCCGCCCCCGGTTAGCCGTAGGAATAAAATTACGGACGGCAGAATCGATTCGGTGAATTGTGCTTTCATCTCTCCACCTTCCTCGCGGCTTTAAATTCCCGCCCGAGAAGCGCCGGCGGCGGCAACGCGGAACTTTCACCGTCTCGTATTTTTTCACGCTAGAAATTTCGTTAGCGGACAGCACATCTGGTGGCATCCGGCAAGAAGCGCCCGGCTCTGTTGCGGATGTTATGCTTTCTCGCGCGTTCAAACATTCGATACATCACTCCGCGGGAAAATCTAGCGTTTCTCCCCGAGATGTACACGTCCCCCTCTCGTAGGTGACCGTCGTAACGTAAGAGAGTTCGTAAAAGGCAAAAATACTCGAACAAATGGTGAACGGATGCTGCGACATCGAAATGTAACGACCATCTCGTGACGAATATCGCGAGGGACGAATTGAGTGTCGATGAATATTAGGCAGATGGCAGAGAACGATCCGTGAACGCTTAAGACTGTCTCAAGACCTGCGTCCACGACGCTAGAACTGGGTCCAAGTTCTAGTTCCGAGAAACGCGTAGCCAATCAACTTGCAGCTTTTATGGAATAGCGTTTCTCGGGACTAGAACTTGGACCGAGTTCTTGCATCGTGGACAGAGGCCTTTAGTCGTAGGCGTAAGGCAAGGCAGAGAAAAACGTAAGTCGTGAAAGGCTATTGTACACGTATGCCTTGCCTTACGTCTACGACTAAGACAGTCTTAAGCGTTTACGGATCGTTCTCTGGTATCAGCCTCTACACGCACACACGACGACGATACCACTCACGATCTCGACCTCGGTGTTCTCCCCGATACATCGTGCGAGTTGTTTTTCCCCGGCGAAAAGTCCGATGGAAGTCGGGCTCCGCTTTAATCGTGATATACGGTCCAACTTGCGCTATTAAATCGAATTTACTTATACGTCTCCTCACGTTTTAGGCCGGAAGAGTTTTACTAGTTTAAAACTTGCCCCGACAAACCGCGCGAAGAGGAGGGGAGGGGGGTGCGTACTCGTTGGAAAGTGGGATCCAATGAATTTATCGGTTTCCGCGGAAGTTAAAAGTCCTGGCGGGCCGACGAGCGATCTCGCTGACCTTGCTGAGGGGGATCGCGCGCTTTCCACTCTCCCCTTTCGTTTCTTTTTTTCATCTTACGTTAATTGACGCTACGCGGATTCGATTCCCTTCCGCCACCTCGTTTCCTCGCGGTTCTTCGAAGCTTACGAGCTCGTCGGTTCCCATTTCTTTTTTCGCGTTTTCTTCGCCCTCGTTCGGCGACGTTCGGAGGAAGGGAAGCCCCGTTATTAGCGATAACGTTTCGCGGCGCCTTCGGCCTCGCCTCGGAAAGGCCGCGCGACACGCCAGCTGCAATTTGTCGGGAGCTCGGGGGGGGGGAAAAATCGCCAACTATCCGTTTCACGGTTAGAAGCCGGAGCCACCGCGACAAATCGAATTTGTTAATAGGGCTCTCTCGGCGAAGGTTCCCCCTCGGAGCCCGCGGGGGAACCAGACTCGACGCGTGGCAGACACGCGGGGTATGTGTCGTGTCGCGTCCCGTGTACCGGAGGGCCACGAGGAATGTCGCCACCGCGTTAACTGAAAACGCTCGTTAAAACGCGCTCGTCAGCCCCCGCGCGCGGGGGACGAGAGGGACTCGCGCCGCGATTAACTAAACGCGCGTATCAGCGGGGGAGACGCGCTCGCGACGCTAACGAGAGCGGCGAGGCTGGCGCGCTTTTCGCGCGTTCTGTTGTCGAAATACACGAATTTTCGTTAACCTTCACTCATTTTCGAGCTGCAATTTTTACGAGGCTGCACCGCGCGACACCCGGCCATAGCGTAGCCCGGAAATGTGTGTGAAACCGTAGACGGTGTTTGACAAAGCACGTTAAATTAATTAAACGAATATCAAACGCCGCAGTCGCGCGATTATCGCGGAAGGGACGCTTTAAATGAGAAGGGCGCAATTGATAAAAGAACGACAGTCGCAAGCGCACGATTAGGATACTTGTTACATTTGTCGTACGACGAATTTTATTAAGCATGTTGATTGGCTACAACATAGAAAATTTCTAAATACTCGAGAACTTTTCTATCCTGCAGCCAACACGCTTGAAACATTGGTCGTACGACAAATTAATACCAGTCTTAGGGTCTGAGCAGAAAGATCGTCGTAACTGTTCACGATTCCTTAAGACTTAAGTCGGTGTCAAAAGTCAACGCACGAAAAATTGCCGTAGATGTATGTCGTCTTGCGATGCAATGCATGCGACATACGTCTACGACAATTCTTTGTGCGTTAACTTTCGATACCGACTTAGGTCTTACGGAATCGTGAACGGTTACGACAATCTTCCTGCTCAAGCCCTTAGGGCCCGAGCAGTAAGATTGTCGTAACGGTCTGCAATTCCGTCGTAAGACGTAAAGCAGTGTCGGAGGTCAATGCACAAAGAACTGTCGTATGTCGCCTCGGGAGGCAACGGATGCGAGGGATGCGACATGCGTCAACGACAATTCCTGACCGACTGGAGTCTTACGACAGAATCGTAAACGGTTACGACAATCTTTCTGCTCAGGCCCTTAGGCCCATGGAGCAGTTCGTTTGACGCACGTCACTTTCGACTTTTCCTTCGAGCGGGCGGATCAGTGGTCGCAGCTCAAAGAAGTCGATTGGGATCCTCACTCTTTGATTCGCGTCTCAAGGGAATTCCCGTTCGCGAGTCCGCTGTACACGGCAGGTTTGGCGGACTGTAATGCCTCGTCGGGAAGAAGATCGGGAAGCCTCATCGATATCGAACGCGGCACAGCACCGCTCGTTAGAAGACGAGGGTCCCCGTTCACGGGGTGGGTGGCTACGTGCTCCGTCTGTCATTCGGCCAGTTGTGTGCCGTGTTTACTTAGCAAAAACACCTGTCGGCACCTCCCGTCGTCCCCCCATCGACGGTGGACATCGACACCGATCGTTTCGCCGATGAAAAGAACGAAAATCCGGCCGGGACAGCCGGGACGCGGATTCCAATCACCGAACGGCCGGCCGATAAAAAGCCGCGGAACTCGTTAAGCCGCTGCCGCCGCCGATTGCTCCAATCCGATACGCGGCGGATCGTCGTCAAATAAGAATCGAGAAGGGGAGGAGGGGGAGACGCAATAATCTCGGAATCTCGGCTGGAAAATCCCGGCGATGCACTGGGAATCACGTCACACCGTGACTATCGACCTTCCGTGATTTACCGTGGCGCTGGGCGAAGGAGGATCGAGGGAAAGCGAGAGAGAAAGGGCGACGCGACCGGCGGAAAAGTCGGAGCACGACTTCCCATCGTCGACCGACAGGGACAGGGAGGGCGCGACGAGGGGAAAAGGAAACGACGTGGTCCAGCGGAGGGAGGGAGAGAGAGAGAAACGCCTGGAGACCCCGGGACTGACGGCCCTCGAAATTCGAAACGTTGGGCACCTTCGGCGAATCCTGGAGCGGTTACCGACGCGGTCTCCCGACGCGGTCGTCCGCGCGGACGGCACGCGAGAAGGGCGGCGGGACGGGGACCTTCCGCCCGCGCGCGCGTTTACGATTGTCGCGGACGGCGAACGGCGATTCCGCGCGGACCGATCGATCGCTCGCTGCACGCTCGCACGCGGCGCGACGCATGAGAGGAACCGGGGAACGCACGAGCCGTGGTTCCGTGTCGCGGTGAAAACCGCGGGGCGCGCGCGTCTCACACACACGGCACGCACGAGACGACACGCGTACGCTCGCCACGATCGCGGTCTCGGTACTGGCGCGCGGTGGCGCCCGGACTTTTAGTTCGTGGCGCTACCGAGCAGCGTCGCGACGCCCGCCGGCGTCTCGTCTCCCCCTCCCCGTCGTCTAGGGAGCGGCGGCGGCGGCGGCGGCGGCGGCGACGTCCACCCGGCGGCGCAACGCCGGGGCCCTCCGTTGAATATCCCGGTGCCCCCCCCCCCCACCGCCCTCCCAGCCGGTCGACGATGCCCCGCGATAGGTGCCCCCGGCGCACGTGCTGTCAATCAAAAGAACGCGAGATAACATCCGCGGATAAAGGCTGTCAGTCCGCTTTATCTGTACTTTAGATAATGAAATCCCTAACTTCATTTTCCACTGGGAAAATGCGCAATTACTCTCGCGTCGATTGAGATGTGCGTGTAATATTTTTGTATACATAAATAGAGATCCGCTCCTTTCGAGAGCACTTTTTGTCGATTCTGCACTGTTTTGCAATTACCCCCGCTCCCGCCCTTTGAAGGGCCCTACGTGCAAAAAAATCATTGATTCAAACTACCATGGCAATTGAATTGATATTGACGCGCTGTAAAAAAAAATGGTATCAAAGGCTAAAAAAAAGGGGATAACAAAAAAGTACAGAACTATTACATATAATCGGTGGTTAATTTTGATACGCCTATTTACAGCTTATCGTAACGTACGTACGTTCGCCCGTCGAAAATAAAACCGTTTCCGTATTGCTCTATTTCCATTTCGGTATATTTTTCATCTAAATGTAAAATGCTTTCGGCGAACGTAAAAATTCTACTTAAACAATAACAAGTTAAGAACATTGCCACGAATCTCTATTATGTAAATCGGGAGCTCAAGATGAGAATACGCGAATGTTTAAAATGTGAATAATAATAATGTGTTTTGTGCGCGAGAGGTTTCTCGCCGAGATGGAAACATCGGGAGACGTCATCGGGATAATGAATATGACGGATACGGATTTCATTTCTTGCCCCGCGTTAGTTTCAGTTTGACATATTGAAATCTTGACGCGCAACCCGCCGACAGTTCAGCTCGATATTTTTCGTTTACGCTAATTGCGAGATAGACCGCTAAATGTGTCGCTGAAACGTTTCGCGTACGTCAACGGCGCGTCACGTAAAAGGAGAAAAGAAAGGAAAGGGACATTATAATCTGCTTGAAATGCCACCGCTCCACTGCCCGAATATATACCGCTACGCGAGATCCATTTAAATTACGCAAAGCGGGAGATCCCGTAATCTCGGTGTCCAGGACTAGTCCTGCTCCTGGTCTCCTAATTAGTCTAATCGCTCTATGGAACAACACATAGACGTGCGGCTGCACACACGAACGAGAGGGGCCAGAAATACTTGCAAGTTCGCATGAAAAGTAGATCGGCGGATATCCAACGGAATTGTGATTGAACTGCCGCGGTCTCGTCGCGGGAACGATGGAAGATGAAACAAAAGGAGAGGCACCAGCGCGTTATTATTATTGCCGTCGACAGTGCGCGTCTAAGAAAGAGAAACCCGGTCTCTCTTTGAACAAACGGGAACGCGAGAGGAAGGAAGAGGATTTCGATACGCGTTAAAAAATCAGAACAAAAAGCTACTGTTTCGCGCACCACGCACTTTATATCAATTGCGTTGCCATGGCAAAGGGGGGAAGCTTATAGGATTTCTCGTTTCTATCACTGGGTTACTATAGTTTTCCGCCGAGGGTGGGAGCAGCGGTAAGCAGCTCTTTTCCCGGTGCGCGGCTCTTACCGAGCTGAGATGGAGCCTTTCGAAGAACATCTTGTCGAACGTCTCGGCGACCATGGAAGCGACTGGGAAGGAGGGCGACGGCGAGGAGGAACCTGGAAAGAAAATAGCGATGAGAGGGGCCGGGGCGGAGGGAGCCGGAAGGAAAACCGCGAGAGTGAGAACGAGGCCGCGTACGCGCGTACACGTCAATGTCGGTAACGTACGATCGGAGGTATTTCCGCACAATTGGCCGTGATAACGCTCGCAGCGGTAACTTAGTTGTCGTCGCTATCTAACGATTCCCGACGAGATATCGACGTGAAAGATGGGGAAGATCGTGTTCAGAAATCTTACCGCGCGCCCGCTCCGCGCACGGCCCGTCGAGCGACTCGTTTCCAGCCGGTTTCTCTCGGCGAGGGAGAGGATTGCTCATTAATTAGCGGTAGCGCCGGGAGTGCCGCATATTTTTTCCTCGACTTATTACATTTATCGTACGATACATTTTTTAAGTACGTTGATCGATTGCAGGATAGAACATTTCCAGATACTCGGGCACTTTACTGTCCTGGAACCAATCGATATGCGTGACAAATTTCTCGTACGACAAATGTAAAGGAAAGTCTCCTATTATGAGATAGGCTTATAATAAACGACATAGCAGGTTTTCAACGTCAAAATTCAATCGCACATCTTTTTTTCGCGACGACTACACGATCTAACGATGAGTTTTCCACGAAACAGATGACTCGCTTGTCATACGAATTTTTCTTCTTTTCTTATTTGTATCGTTACTTTAAAAGGACCTGAGGTAAGGTCGAAACGTTGTAACGAATTTAATAAAATTTGCCAGTTGGGTTGACGGCAAGTACACTATTTTAATTTTTAACGATAAGTAATTTGGAATAGGTATGGAATTTTCCATTACGTAGCGGGACAACGAATTCTCAATGTTTTTTTGTTGTTTTTCACTCGGCGCGGTATCGTACGACGTCACGCGGGCCAACGTTTACCCGAAGGTCACCGCGTTATTAGTCGCTCGCCGGGCCTCGAGCCGGCAGGCGGTCGCGAGTGTTGCTCCGTGCGTCGCATTACTTCTGCGTTATCAGTTTCCGAGACGCGATCGCGATAAGTGTGGTGCTAAAACATTATTAATTCGTGCACGTTTGTCGGTAATAAGTAACGTTCTTCGATTAATTATTGAGTTTCCACAACTTGTAATGAGAAACGGTTTTGTACGTCGAGACATCGGATTTTTATCAACGTAGATATTTCACGAGACTAACTCGTCTTAAATATGAATGTGAACCGTGATACTTTGTCGCGATTGCTGCATCCCGTTTATGCTTCGTGCTTTGAATTATCTATCGATTTCAGTGTAATCCGGTTTTCATTTTCGAGAAAATAGAGAAATTTGTTGGTGCGCGTTGTTCGCTGTAATTCGTTCTGCCGTACTTTGCAGCACGAACAGACAGAACGTAGAGAAAGTCACTTACTGCGCGTCGTTACGTTGTTACGTCTCGAAATGTGATCGAAAATTACCTCGGTAAACTGTTACAACTGTTATAACTGTAACAACTATTCATCGCAGTGGCTGTTTCGCTCGCGTAAGGATTGTATTGATTGACAATAAGGACTGTAAAACATCGTTGCGGACTAATAACTGCAGACGCAAGTTACTTCCGAATCGAGACTGCAAGATGACGAGTTGCCGGTTTAAATAATTTGCGTGACGGAAGGTCAACCGACGTGTGTTAAAAATCTCGCATTTCGTGCGTGTCGCGGTTACCTATTTCACGTCGTACATGGCAGTGTCACGCGAAATTGTGCGCGATCGTAACTAATCAGTTTCGTGAGTGAATATTGTGCTAGTGCAAGAAGGAAATCTGAGAGGAGGAGCAGGCCCAGGGAGGCATCGGGCAACGGCTGAGCAACCGTGAGGTAAGCGTTTGATATTTGATGTATTATTTGCTACTTGCAAAATTAAGTATATTCTCTCTGTCTTGTGTCATTTAAATGATTCGACTAAGGGCCTGAGAATGACTATCTTGTATTCCTAAGACACGAGACAGTTATTATGCGTTACTTTAAGGCAAGGATTTAAAACACGAAACATTGTTTTAAGGCCCGATTTCACCAACGTCGCTTAACTTTGAGCTTAGCTTAATTCGTTCCTTGTCTCTTTCCAACTGTTACTCTAGAAAGAGACAAATAATTTAAAAGAGAGACTTTTTCGAGTACTGTTCTATAACGATTTTATTAAATATCTACTTAAAGAAAATGTTCAATGCAATCATTTCGATTTTGAATAATTATTCTATAATATAATAATCTTGTTTTGCTTGTATGTTACAGTTCTACGTAGTTTAAACTACTACTCCGTTGTTGCCCAACGTATTGGTGAGTGCTAGGTTAACTTTTATTTCAAATTGACGTAATGGATCTATATAGAGATCGCAATTAAATCTACATTATGTAAAATGCACATTGGAATTTATGGACATTCAGTTTTGCAAATGAACTTGAGTTTTTATAGATCCATTTCTTTAAATTGGATAGATTAGAACAGATTAGAGTGCGTGAATAAATTAATACTGCACGATAGTTACCTTATTTTCCTTCGTATTAATATCTTTCGTGGTTTCATTACAATCTTCTAAGATTACGCGTTATAGAAATTGGTGGAATAAAATCGAACTTAAAGAATGTTCGCGTACAACACATTTAACAGAAAGAGAAAATATTTTCTCCACCTTGTATATTTTAATTAGCAGAGGAAAGTCCCCTATTACGCGATAGAATCTTAATACGGGATAGTGCGGTTTCTGTTAAATTAATAGGCGTCGTCAGTTGATTCCACCATGAATTTATTGCTCTTGGAGCGAAATCTGTATAGTGGAAAATTCATTGTTAGATTGTGTAATCGTTGCGAAAAAAGATTTATGATTGAATGTGGATGTGGAAAACCAGTTTTACTCTAATCTTTTATAATCTATCCATATTATATAATTTTTATTGTTTCGTCATATATGTACGTTATATCGAGTGTCCAACAATCGCACCCTTAAACATTAGTTTGCACGTATCGTTCAAACTTTCGACTATCATCGTTGTGAGTAGCGCGTGCAATGTTACACAGTAAAAAATCGTTCAAATGTTAAAATTTTATTATGTTACCAAAACTTAATTCTTACTTAAATGTAAAATCAACATAAAACGTATACGTTATTATTTTCGTAACACTCTTATAATAACTTGACACTTATGTGTGTTATTTAAAAATGGAATATTATTTTGAATTCTTTTAGCACAACTATTTTACA